CGTATACACTTATTTTTGGATCTGTTTTTTGTTTGCCCAATAACATTGACTGTTCTTGCTGTAATAGTCAGTGAAAGTTCTCGCCATTTGTTAGACGAGTGCTCCAAGACTGTATAATTTGAAACATACAGATTTGGTTGCAATGATATGAATGGATGAATAGTGTTTACGAGTGTAATCTTAAGAGTTGGCTTGAACTAAAACACTGATTTTCTTTTTTCTTTTCTTTTCTCATTGTGTCAGCATTGACTGTCTAATGGCTTGTGCAATGCATTATGTGAAATTTTGAGAAATGCTTTGAAAAAAAAAATGTTTCTGAAAGTAATTTTCAGATGCAACGGGGGAAAAAACGGGATAAACACAAACATGAAACTTGTAAATAAAATAATCTGATATATATAGCCTATATGTACAATTTAATAACTTATAGCCTATAGTTTGATATATGAATTGGGTGTCCGTCAAAGATTGCATGGGGTCGGAGATTCCCGTGTTTACAGCTCCGTAAAATAACTTACTGGAAGCTCTGTAGTTTTGCTGTATAGGCCTATAGATAAAAATATTAAAATTACAAACACACAATAACATTTTAAGTTACTTCCATTTCTGAAAAAAATTATGTAGGCCTAGTAATTGATGTTATAAATACACACGCCTGATTTTTGTTTTAATTATCCATCGTACATAAAAAAAACAAACAAACAAAAAACACATTTGCAATCAAGACTGAAAAAAGCCAGAAGTGAAGGTAAACCAGATTTGGCACAGACTCTGTTGCTATCTGTGAAGCCAAGCATAAGAATAGCCTACTAATGTAAATTTGTTAACCCACAGCAACAAATTTTAACAGATTAATCGCATATTTTCGTTTGCTGCATGCTTTTAAAAACACAATAAAAAAAAAACGCAGATTTGAATTTAGCTGCTGGTGATGTTTTTCTTTTTTTATATGCAGTTTACAGGACAAACTGTGCATTTCACCCAAAATTGTTTGGTGTGATATGATTCCAAATTTAGGGTGGGCCAAGCTTGTTGGCAGGGGGGCACTGCCCATAATATCTGTCACCTCTCAAATTAATGCACGACTCTACATTATCTGTATAGCATGTGTGTAAGACTCTAATACAATTATGAAGTAATAATTTTATGACGAATAAATCTCTCAGTGAGTAAAACCGGCTGCGTCTATAGTATTAAAGGCTACACAACATTATTATATTATCTTTAAATTAATTTTTAAATGATTATTATTAAAAAAATTATTGTCCCTGAATTAGTAGGGTACTCTTGTAATAAAGTAGCGGTGGAAAAAGATGCAATCTAATCCTGTTTACATGAAATAAGCCTGCTCCGAGCAGGTTTGACCTGTTGCTATGACAGCAACTCCGGGATGAGCTTCGAAGAACCAAACAATCCAAGATCTCCAAGATCCGTCAACAATCAAATCCAGCTAACTGAGTTAGC